AAAGAGTGAGCGGATTCTTTGCCTGGGACTGAGACACGCTTCATTCTTTGGGGCCAAAACTTCGGAGGCATTCCTCCGCTCTTGCTGATGCAACTGAGAGGAGTCGGTTACATCATCTGGGGGAGAGAATGGTGTTGAGGCGCTTCTCGTGAAAGGGAAAGGAAAGAGAGCGCCGCGGTTTTTTCTTGTCATCTGCTGCTGAGCTGCTGCTGAGCTGACCTGGCTGGTTTTGAAACCCGTCAAGAAGGAAAACGGGCAAACTTTGTCCCGGCAAAACTTTTTTTTTTGTTTCCTTTCCTGGCCAAACTTGCCAACTCAGCATGTGCAGCAGGAGTTGATGCCGTAGCTCTTCAGCGTGAATGGAGTCCGCTTACCCATACACAACACAAAGCCGCTCTGTTTCAGCTGGCCTTGAAATGGACTGTCCTGTCCCCCCCCCCCCTAATTTTTCTCAAAAAATCCTGCTGCTTTCTCTGTCACTGAAGTGGAAGAATCCCCCCCCTTTTTTCCCCCTCAGCTCCGCTAGTGTAATGCTATACAGATGGCAAATGCTAGCCTGTCAATCCATTGGGGGCTACTTAGAAAGAAGTTGGTTTTAAATTCTAGGCTTGAGTTGCTATTTTTGCTGCCTGCCTAGTGTGGTGGTTTTTATATTGCTTTTTATGACTGTTATCTAAACTACTGTTAACGGCTCAGTAAGGAGAACGAGTGGCCTTGTGGAGGGCTGTGACGTTAAACCCTCTGCGCTCCTATGGTTTGCAGGATGACTTCGTTCAGACAGGAACATAACTGTAAAGGAAAACCAAAGTCAAAGCTGTCAAGTTGCTTCCAATTTATGGTAACCTTATAAATGAATGTTCTCTAGAATGACCTGTTGTTAACAGCGTTGGTCAGGTCATGCAAACTGAAGGTTGTGGCTTCCTTGATGGAGGCCATCCATCTCATGTTGGGTCTTCCTCTTTTCCTGCTGCCTTCAGTTTTCCTGAGGATTATTGTCTTTTCTAGTGACTCTTGTCTTCTCATGGTGTGACCAGAGTACCGACAGCCTCAGTTTAGTCATTTTAGGTTCTAGGGCAGGGGTGTCAAACTCATTTGTTACGAGGGCCGGATCTGACATAAATGAGACCTTCTTGGGCCGGGCCACGTGTGTCATAAAATGTAATGCCAGGTAGTGGAGATATAAACTTTATAAAGGACACAAACACAAAGGGGTGTTTTTTAACTTAAAATAAAAACATACTTAAAACATTAGCACTCTTGCAATATTTTGTTTATTTAACAGTGTCTGATAACTGACACCACTTGCTCTGAAGTATTGCATAAAAATGTCTGCACAATCTGTGCTTCCGCAAAGTAATCTTGAGTGTGCTGTTCAGCTGTGTGTATCTGTAAGCTGCAAACCTATGATGACGCAGCAGCAGCAGAACTGGAGGAAGAAGCAGAAAACAGCCTGTTCCACCGTGGGGCTGATAGAAGCCCTCCGGGGGCCTGAACTGGCCCCCGTGCCGCATGTTTGACACCCCTGTTCTAGGGAGTCTTGGTTTGATCTAGAACCCACATATTTGTCTTTTTGGCAGTCCCTGGTATCTTTAAGACTCTCCTCTCAGTACCACATTGCAGATGAATCAGCTTTCTTCCTGCCAGCTTCCTTCATTGTCCAACTTTCATAACCATACTGGGTGGAATACTGCGGCTGGGGAAATCTTGGGTGCAAATTCATGTTCAGGCATAAATTTCACTGACCTTGTTTTTTTCTACCTTGCGAGGGGGTAGAGGTGAAATATTGAATCCCCCCTTGCAGGAAGGTGGAATGAAGATGCTGTGTGATAAAATATATCCAATGAAATGGTTTCACTACCCTTTTGGGAAACTTAGGGCAGCTGTCATAGAGAAGAGAGTGCAGGCTTGATGGGATCCTATTGGTGTTGCAGTGATAGAATTTATCATTCAGGGACATTCCTTTGTATTTAACAGAGTCGAGGAGCTGGTAGTTTGTGGACATGCCCTAAGCAGTGTTCTATCTAAGCTGAGTTAGTGGGGGAGAATGGCTTTGTACGCTGCTTTGGGCACCCACTGGGAGACAAGTGGGCTATAAATGAATACAAATAAAATAAAGAATAAATACTAAAAATTGAGTAGAGTAGCAGCAGAAACCATTGTGGCCCTTTAACTGTATTGTACGAAATTCATTTCACAATAGGTTTGCTAGTTCTTCAGGTGACACGCGTGTCTTGCGAGCTTGTGGAAAAAAAATTATATTCTAAGAATGGAGTCAGAATGTTGGGAAATCACATCAATGGCCAACTCCTACCATCTTTTCCATCCCATCAGTTAAGGTCTTCCTCACAAGCCCTGCTCTCTGTGCCCCCACCTCCAGAGGTTAGGTGGGTGGCAAAGTGGGAGATCTTCAGGAGGTTGGCACCCTGGCTTTAGAACACGGCGGTTGTACAAGATGTTTTAGTTGCTGTTTATATTAAAGGTCTTTGAAGCCATTTCATATTCTGTTTAGTCTGTGGACACAGGAATTATTACAGGTGTCTTTCAGAGTCAGGGTGGTGTAGTAGTTAGTGTATCAGACTAGGATCTGGGAAGCCCAAGTTGAAATATGGTCAGTCTGCCATGGGAGCTATCTGGGTGATCTCGGGCCAGTCACTCTCTCTCAGCCTGATCTACTTCACAGGGTTGTTTTTGTGAGGATAAAATGGAGGAGGGGGAGAATGGCTTTGTACGCTGCTTTGGGAGACAAGTGGGCTATAAACGAATACAAATAGAATAAATAAATACTAAAAACTGAGTAGAGTAGCAGCAGAAGCCATTGTGGCCCTTTAACTGTATTGTACGAAATTCATTTCACAATAGGTTTGCCAGGTCTTCAGGTGACACGCGTGTCTTGCGAGCTTGTGGGGAAAAATTATATGCTAAGAATGGAGTCAGAATGTTGGGAAATCACATCAATGGCCAACTCCTACCATCTTTTCCATCCCATCAGTTAAGGTCTTCCTCACTGTCCATCCCATCAGTTAAGGTCTTCCTCACTGTCCATCCCATCAGTTAAGGTCTTCCTCACAAGCCCTGCTCTCTGTGGCCCCACCTCCAGAGTTTAGGTGCGTGGCAATTAAAGTCAGGGCCTTTCCAGTGGTGGCACCTTGCCTGTGGAATGCCTTCCCGCTTGAGGCTTGGTGGGTACCTACCGTACTGTCCTTGTGTCTGCTTCTGATCTAAGGTCTCTCTCATGGATAGTTTTGTGCCTTTTTTTGGATATTTTTTGCATTTTGTGTGTGCACGCGCCGCCATTTCATATTCTGTTTAGTCTGTGGACCCAGAAATATTACAGGTGTCTTTCACAGTCAGTGTGGTGTAGTAGTTAGTGTACCAGACTAGGATCTGGGAAGCCCAGGTTGAAATATGGTCAGTCTGCCATGGGAGCTATCTGGGTGATCTCGGGCCAGTCACTCTCACCCTGATCTACTTCACAGGGTTGTTTTTGTGAGGATAAAATGGAGGAGGGGGAGAATGGCTTTGTACGCTGCTTTGGGAGACAAGTGGGCTATAAACGAATACAAATAGAATAAATAAATACTAAAAACTGAGTAGAGTAGCAGCAGAAGCCATTGTGGCCCTTTAACTGTATTGTACGAAATTCATTTCACAATAGGTTTGCCAGGTCTTCAGGTGACACGCGTGTCTTGCGAGCTTGTGGGGAAAAATTATATGCTAAGAATGGAGTCAGAATGTTGGGAAATCACATCAATGGCCAACTCCTACCATCTTTTCCATCCCATCAGTTAAGGTCTTCCTCACTGTCCATCCCATCAGTTAAGGTCTTCCTCACAAGCCCTGCTCTCTGTGCCCCCACCTCCAGAGGTTAGGTGGGTGGCAATTAAAATCAGGGCCTTTCCAATGGTGGCACCTTGCCTGTGGAATGCCTTCCCGCTTGAGGCTTGGTACTACCGTACTGTCCTTGTGACTGCTTCTGATCTAAGGTTTGTCTCATGGATAGTTTTGTGCCTTTTGGGGGGTATTTTTTGCATTTTGTGTGTGCAGGCGCTGGCTGTGTCAGGAAGTCATGGCGACCTCTGGTGACTCCTACTGGGGCATGGGGGACATTCAGAGAAGTGTCTTGATAGCCTGACTCTGCCTCCCAGCCCTGGTATTCTCTGGAGGTCTCCCATCTAAATACTTGCCAGAGTCGACCCTGCTTAGCTTCCGAGATCTGACAAGATCGGGCTGGCCGGGGCTATCCAGGTCAGGGCGTTTTGTGCTGGTTTTGTGCCTTAATGGCTTGCTTTCTTTTTATATTGATGATTAACAACATTTATTGTATTGATAAGTTATGTTATTTTTAAGCCACCTTGAGCAGGCCCTGAATTTTCCAAAATGCATAAAGAAATGGTGCCAGCTTCAGGGTAGGTTTGCCAGCTTCCAGGTGGCAGCTAGAAATCTGGGATAATGACTGATCGCTGGGCAACAGAGATCAAGTTCACCTGGAGAAAATGGCCTCGTTGAAAGGTGGACTTTATGGCATTATACCACACGGAAGTCTTTCCCCTTCCCACGCCCCACCCCTCCCCAGACTCCATCCCCCAGATTTCCAGGAATTTCCCAACCCAGACCTGGCAGCCCTGTCTTGGGACCGAATTAGTGTGGGGTCCAGCCGGCTCTTAGCACCCTGCTTTTGCCACTTTTCCTGCCAGAAATCGAGGCAGCCTCCTCCAAGGAAATGCTCTCTTCTCCCCCCTCCCCCAAATCTGGATCACATTTCTTGTTTCTGTAACTCTGTTCACAAGTTACAGTAAAAGTACACACTTCCTTCATGCACGCGCACAGATCTGTTTGCAAGAAAGAGCTGACGTATGTTCACATTACCAGTGAGACTGGGGGCCAGTGCCTGGATAAATGTGAGATTTCAATGGCACGTTCAAATCCATGTGCATTGAATGTACCATAACTACCCAAAACATGGTTAAAGAAAAATCAGGTGAACCCTGTACCCAATTGTACATACATTCACTGTAACTTGTGATCAGGGGCTTCTGTTTGGCTGGTGAGTCATATGGAATCAGGTCCCCCATGGCTGCTAGTGGAGAGCGGGTGGCTGGCTCCTGGAGATTTGAGGATGGAGCCTGAGCCCACCCTCCAAAGCATCCGTTTTCTCCAGCGGAACTGATCTCTGTAGTCTGGAGATGAGCTGTCATTCCGGGGGATCCCCAAGTCCCACCTGGAGGCTGGCATCCCTATCTCTAAATCAAACACTTTACAGGTTGTTTTGCCACTGAAGCAGATACTTGGAAGTCTTCTTTGTTCATGAAAACCTCCTGGTGGATTATGTCCTGTGTTCATTAATGTGCAGAAAGGGTGGGTTTCCTGCCTATGGTACCCAAATGTCTTGGCCAGGGCATGTTGTAACGTTGCTATTTTTTTTTTTTTAAACCTGGCCAGCCCCTGAGAAGATGTTGCCAGGCCGGGGGGAGCTTGCGGGCCCAGCACAGCAAAGCAGCCACTGCATCTGACAAGGATGCTCCGGCCTGGACGGGGCAAGAGAGCTTGGCAGAGAGCGACCCTGAGATGTGGGAACTGGTACAGCAGGAGAAGGATCGGCAGTGCCGGGGACTGGAACTCATTGCCTCAGAGGTGAGTGTTGGGGAAGATGGCTGTCCATGCCTTAGCCCTGTAGTGGAGCCAGTTTGGTGTAGGGGTTAAGAGCAGCGGACTCTAATCTGGAGAACCAGGTTTGATTCCCCACTCCTCTGCATGAAGCCAGCTGGGTGACCATGGGTCAGTCTCAGTTCTCTCAGAGCTTTTCTCTCAAGAGCAGTTCTTGAAAGAGCTCTCTCAGCCTAACCTACCTCACAGGGTGTCTGTTGTGGGGAGAGGAAGGGAAGGAGACTGTAAGCTGCTCTGAGACTCCGAGTGAAGGGCAGGGTATAAATCCAACTCCCCTCCTTCAGCAGCTCTCCAGGGGATTGAACCTGGGACTTTTTGCTTGTAAAAATGAAGCTCTGCCACTGAACCGTGGCCATTCCCCTTAAGTACTTGCTAAAATCCTGTACATTCAGCATATGTACAAGCAAACCAGTGCACAGAGAAGGGGAGCAAGCAGTAAGGCAGAAGTTAAGGAGTGAAAGTTAGCAAGTTCCTGATTCAAATCCCACCTTAGCGATAAACTTCTAGCCACTTATTTTAGCCTCTCCCACCCTGTTTTGCAATACTGGCCTACTGTCTGTTGTATGGATTACTGAGATATATGTGAAGGGTATACTTTATAGAAATTTGGCAAATTACATCCAAATACTTTGGTTTTCTTTATGGAGATATGAATAGTGGTGAGATTTGGGAGGAGCCATGGCTCAGTGGGAGGGGCCCTGTTTGTCATGAGTAGGTCTGGGGTTCAGTTCCTGTTGGGAAAGACCGTTCTCTGTCCGAGAGCCACTGCCAAAGAGAAGAGCATACCACCTTGATGGACTAGGGGTCTGGCTGCTTTCACACGCACTGGATAATGCACTTTCAATGCGCTTTAGCAATTGTTTGCAGCTGGGTTTTCCTGTTTCACTCAGGAATAGAGTTCACCTCTGTTATATGTAATTGAGAACTAAATAAGCTGTTGTGTTTAAACTTGGACTGTTGAACTAATTTTCCTCTTAAGTTTATTGTTTTCTAGGCTTAATGATTCATGTTGTCATGTTACTGCTTTTAATAAAAGTTTTAATATAAACTAGTCTGAACCTTAACTGTATATGCATTTTGGGAAATCAATTAAAAATACTACTTGAAATGCCCTATTTAAGTATTGTATGGTATTAAACTCAGAGCCGCAAACATATTTCAAATGCTTAGGTGACAATATTGTTGTTTTTGCAGGGCTTGAAAAGCTTTCAAAGTTCTTTACTGCAAGGATTGTTTTAAAAATAGGCAAACTTTTAGTGCTCGAACAGCTGGGATTTTTTTTAGCTTTGAGCAACAAACAGAATGGTTTAAAATGCCCTAGGTGTGGTTCTCAGTACAGACCCAAGGAGTGGTGGTGGATTAGATAAAACAGGGGATACAGCTGTGGTTTTGTGTATGGAAGAGTAGGGTGGCTGGAATGACAAATAGTGTAGCCTTGTAGGGATGACATGTCCATGGGATGACTGATTGTGTGGGGAGGGAGAATGGCCATGTGTGTGCTGGCTCTTCCTCCCTTTGATTTAGGGTTGCCAGCCCCCAGGGGATCCCCCAGATTTGGGGGCTTCCCTCTGCTGCAGACCAGCTGGCAGGTGGGTGAAGCCCTAAACAGGGATGTCACGGCTCCCTAAACAGGGATGTCACCGGCTCTAAACAGGGACCCGGAAGTGATGTCATCACATGGGGACACTCTGGTATTTGGGCAAACTCTATGGTTTTGAGGGTGAAAAAACCATAGAGTTTCACCCAAATACAAGAGTGTCCCTGTGTGATGTCCCCCACCACGATGATGTCACTTCTGGGTAATGTCATCACAATGGGGATATCAAATGACATCCCTGCCCACCCCCAGAGCAACCCCCAGATCACCCTGCTAGAGGAATGAAGAGACCTGGCAAACCTAATTTGATTGCCAAGTCCTCTGCATGGTGTGAACATGCAGAGGAAGTATCCTCCATATGCTCCCTCCCTGTGATCAGTGACACTCCTTTCCCAGTGTTGCTGATCACGGGGAAGAGAGTGTATGCACAGATACTTTTTCTGTGCATTTGCACCAAGCAGACCACTTGGCGATTGGCCAGCATGCCCGCGCCCTCTGTCCTTCCCCTTGTAATCAATCAATGTGTGGACACAGGCTAACCAGTGGAGAGGAGGTTGGAATTTGCATTAGTTGTAACAAGGTTGAAAGTACTATGTTTCTTGCACTGCCTTCACACACATTGGATTAGGCATTTTCAATGTACTTTAATGATCCAGTTGCAAACGATTCCTAAAGTGCACTAAAAGTGCATTATCCAACATGTGTTAAAGCAGCTATGGTGGGGGGGCAGGCTCAAAGCAGAAGATGGGATGTACCATTTGGCCGCTTTTTTATCAGTACTATTTACCAGCCCATACCTGCTCCCTTTCTCCCCTGGTTGTACCGTCTTAGAGAAGGAGACATTGGTTCCTTTTTGGTCACTCCAGCCTTGTTTCTATCACATTTGGCCATTGGACGTGTGATTCCATTTTTTCTTTGTTCCCTGCAATCTCAGAATTTCTGCAGCCGAGCTGCCCTGGAGGCCCTGGGCTCCTGCCTGAACAACAAGTATTCGGAGGGCTATCCTGGCAAAAGGTAATCGGGTGGCAGTGTGGGTGACTTTAATGACTTAGTTGGCTGGCATGGAGATGCACAAAAGTGGATCAGGGGAGACGACTAGTTGTGACAGAGCAGTAGTTTACAAGTTCTCGGTGGGTTTAGAACTTTAATGACTTAGTTGGCTGGCATGGAAATGCACAAAAGTGGATCAGGGGAGATGACTAGTTGTGACAGAGCAGTAGTTTACACGTTCTCGGTGGGTTTAGGAGGGCCTAACTCTTGTTTAGGATTGTACTGTTAGTCTGCATTAATATTAATACTATGGATGTGTGTGCTTAATATTTATTTATTTCTTATTGCGTTGTTTATAGTCCGCCTTTCTCACTTGGCCTGAAGGCGGACTGCACAGAGTGAGTCAGTACAGTCAACAAGATGGCACATTCAATAAACGATGAAATAGGATTTGGGTTGTAGAACCAACCAGAAGTCTTTAAAAAACCCGGAACTGAAGCCAAGCATGACACATCAAATGATCCAAGGAAAGATTTATTTATTTATTTGGTTTATACCCCGCCCTCCCTGCCGAGGCGGGGATGGGATAAAAACATGAGGTAAATAATGGGGTAAATAGTGAGGTAAATAATGGGGACTGACTTCAGGCTCTTCCGGACCATGGATAAAGGGGAATTTGGTTGAGCCCCCACTGGCTCTGCTCTCTAAAGGGGGGCCAGAGGACAGGGAATCAGAAAAGGTTGTAAAATGGCGGCTTGTTCTAGGGCATTCTCAGCAGCTGCCCTGGTGCTGTGGAAAGGGCTGTCAGTTGAGCCGAGATCTATTACCACCTCAGTTTCATTTAGAAGAGCTGGGTTATACCCCGCCCTCCCTGCCGAGGCGGGGATGGGATAAAAACATGAGGTAAATAATGGGGTAAATAGTGAGGTAGATAATGGGGACTGACTTCAGGCTCTTCCAGACCATGGATAAAGGGGAATTTGGTTGAGGCCCCACTGGCTCTGCTCTCTAAAGGGGGACCGGAGGACAGGGAATCAGAAAAGGCTGTAAAATGGTGGCTTGTTCTAGGGCATTCTCAGCAGCTGCTCTGGTGCTGTGGAAAGGGCTGTCAGTTGAGCCGAGATCTATTACCACCTCAGTTTCATTTAGAAGAGCTGGGAAGACTGCGTTGTTGAGAAGGGCCCCCACCCCCACCCCGAGTTGTGTTTTAGCTGCTTGTCTATTCCATTGGGTGGTTATTTTCTCCATGGAAATGGTGGCGTTTTACTTATTTAATTGCCAGGCACCTTATCTTTACGATTTTAATGGCTGTGTGTTTTGTTGTTTCCTGTGAGCTCCCTTGGGCCGCTGTAAGGGGAAAGACAATGTACAAATATTTCTAATAAACGGATAACGAAAGGGGTCAGAGAACAAGATAAGGAGGACAGTGAGTGGGTGGCAGAAAAATGTGACGTTAACGGAGATTTTATTAATTCATTTAATTGTTTAAAAATTTCTTAGCTCCCTTTCTACCTCATCAGAACTCAAAGTGGCTTGCAATGTAAACCATAATAAAATACATAAAATGCATGAAAACCGCTAGCTAAAAATAATTTGAAACTACTGGTAGGTAGAAGAACTAATCAAATACTGTAATGAATACAACAGTCTTCAGCTGCTTCCTAGAGAGTGAGGAGACCAGTAGCACATCTCTGGTGAGGTTGTTCCTGAGCTGTGGGGCTACCTCTGAAAAGGCCTGGTCTTGTATACCCACTGAATGAGCTTCTTTGGTCAGTGGGACAGTCACGAGGGCCTTTCCCTGTGACCTTGGTTCCTGGGGAGTAACGTATGGGAGACGACAGTCCTTCAGATACCCTGGTCTCAAGCCATACAGGGCTTTAAAAGAGATAGGGAGGTCAAGATATTTGTGCCTTTTAGATATTGCAGCCACTTTTTGGTGTTGGGGGGGGGGTTCATCCCACGGCTTGGTCCATCCAGCACTCCTGGTTCAGAAAATGAGGGATTGGTGAAGGACTCCCCTGGTTTCTGACTGGAGCCCTGCAGCACCTGATGAAGCAACATATCTCATTCCAAACCCCACCTTTCCAAGGATATTCCCTCAGCACCAGGGAAGATACGTTTAGCCCATTCCACTCAAAATAACCTAAATTTGTGTGAGAAAAAAATCCAATACAAGGAAGAAGGTATTCACATACATACATACAACTCACAGGTCCATGAGTTGGTCTCTTCTATCTTGGTGTCAAGATCACATACATTGGGAGGGATGCAAGGGTAGGGGGAGAGCCAGCATGGTATGGTGGTGAAGAGTGGTGGACTCTAATCTGGACAACCACTCCTCCTCCACACGAAGCCTGCTGGGTGACCTTGGGCCAGTCCCAGTTCTCTCCGAGTTCTCTCAGCCCCACCTGCCTCACAAGGGGCCTGTTGTGGGGAAAGGAAGGGAAGGTGATTATAAACTGCTCTGAGACTAGGGGCAGAGAAAAGTGGGGTATAGAAACCTACTTTTCTTTAGTGCCTTTTTAATGGTATGCTTCCAAGTTTCTTAGGCTCTGGGTATGTTGCAGTCCCACAAGTTCTTACCGCCCCCCCTGCTTGCAGGATCATAATACTAAACACTCCAGTTTCTTATCTGTTGAAGCCAGAAAAGGAACAAATCAGCCATTTGGAAGACAGTAAGAGGCAAAGTAGTTCTGGGGCTAATGATCTGAGATCTGTTCTTCATTGAGGAGGCAGCACAGGAGGGAATTCTTCAGGGCAAGGAGTCAAAGCATGTGGTGTAACGCATCTGGGGGCCATCTTCCATTTGCCAGAGGATCTACGCACATCACCAAGGCCTCAAAGAGGACAAGAAAAGTTGTTCTCTGATCACTTTCCTCAGGAAGGATGCCATATCGCCTTGCTCAGGGGCTGTCAAAACATTCCACCTGGCCTGGATTTTTTTTCATTCTGGAAACTCACGGCAGACCCACGTGACAAACTTGTACTGTCAGGTTGACTTTTACAGCTTTCCTCAGAAGAGTCATCACATGTGAAGAATCCTCTCTCAGGCTGCTCAGGCACCTGTGTGTGGAGCTACAGTTCCTTGTGGGAAGGGAACAAAATATCACGCCAGTTGTTGGTGTGCATGTGTGTGAGAGAGAGAGATCTGGGACTGTTCTTCCTCATTCTACCTCAAAAAGACCAGAAAGGGTTGGGAAAACATCCTAGAACACATCGAAATAAGATGCAGTTTCAAATCCTCTCTAGTTCCTTCCTCATCTAGCACAAAGTTGCCACCAGCAGATGGTGCCGTGCCACACGGAATGGCAGATCAGGCTGCAACGTCCTTTGCTTGCCCCTGAAAGTGAGGACTGTGCCAGGCACCTCCGATGGAGCAGTCTGGGGGAATCCATCCCCACTTCTTGACCCTGAGTGCCTGGCAGACTTGGTCTACGCCAAGCGGCTTCTTCCAATTTATTACATTCAACAAAGCTGCATTTCCCAATTTCAAAATGCCAAGTTTCCATCAGAAAATATGAGTTGCAGTGAATGACATAAGTATCAGACTGAAGTAGGTTTCTGAGCATGGAGGTGTGTTAGAGAGACAGGATCCTTGTTTGTACCTCCGGTGGCAAATAGGCCAAAACATTTATCATGCAATATATAAGAAATCAGAAGACCATGCGGCCCCCCCCCCCCAAAGGGGCTAATTTAGGTCAGCTACGGAACAAGTTACAGGCATATTCTAAGGATCTGATTTAAAAATGTGCAGGAAGGTCACCAGTGGTTCTGTCTTGGCAAGAAGACAGCTTTCAGAATTCCAAAATTTGGATCTGTAAAATTTAGTTGATCAGGCTAACTGAAAAAAATCACTGCATACATGAATGCACAGGAAGGAAACAATTTGCTAGAAATAGGCAACCTTTTGCAACATATTTGAATTAAACCTAAAGAAAATGTTAGAAAAGCAATTTCACATTGTATATGTGTATAAGTACAAATGCATTAGAAGTAATATATGTGGCTTAACATAATATTGTGGGTCTTACTTTGATTGTGTTGTCACATCTTCCATTTGTATATAAATTAAACTGAAAAGGTAAAAAAAATGTTCAGTGTTGCCTTGAGGTTTGATGTGCATTGGTGCTTGGGGGCGGGGGTCGACAGCGGGAGGGCTTCTAATGTCCTGGCCCCACTGGTGGACCTCCTGATGGCACCTGGTATTTTTGGCTACTGTGTGACAGAGTGTTGGACTGGATGGGCCTTTGGCCTGATCCAACATTGGCGTCTCTTATGTTCTTATGAAATTTGTCTTCCTGGGTCAGTCAATGTCTCATGGTAGTAAGTTTGGCCTGGAGAAGTTTCTGGTGTCTTCTCTAGCAAGAAACTGGGACTGGTTCTCTTCATCGCAGGCCATGCGATCCTTTGTGTTTACTAAAGCTCATCCTTCCTTTTGAATAGAGTTGCCAGCCTCTGGAGATCCGTTGTAATCCTGACAGGATACATAGGGAACAGGGTGTTGCATAGGGTTGAATGGACAGAGATCAGTTCACCTGGAGAAAATGGCCACTTTGGAAGGTGAACTCTATGGCATTATATCCCTCCCATCCCCAAAATTAACCCTCCTCAGGCTCTCCCTCCCAAATCTGCAGGTACTTCCTAACCTGGAGCTGGCAGCCCTCCTTATGAAATCCCCCTTAAGTTGCAAATTAACCACCTTGCCTGAAGGAGGGGTATCTGACTGGTCTGTGGGGCTTCCTTTGGATGAAAGAGTTAATTGAATTTATTTATTATTTACAAAACTTACGTCCTGCCTTTCTGCCCTCGTAAGGACCACTGAGGTGGCTAACAAATTAAAAACATACATAATAAAATCACATCTTAACGTCCTTAAAACCAGAGCTAAAATAAAGTAAAGGTAAAGATTCCCTTGCTCGAAAGCCAGTCGAATCCGACTCTAGGGTTGCGGTGCTCATCTCCGTTTCAAAGCCGAAGAGCCAGCGCTGTCCGAAGACGTTTCCATGGTCATGTGGCTGGCATGACTAAACACCAAGGTGCACGGAACACTGTTACCTTCCCACCGAAGTGGTACCTATTTATCTACTTGCAATTTCTTGCTTTTGAACTGCTAGGTTGGCGGGAGCTGGAACTAGAGACGGGAGCTCACTCCATCATGCGGCACACTCGGGTCTCGAACTGCTGAACTACTGACCTTCCACAGCCTGCAGTTCAGCGTCTTAACCACTTGAGCCACCGCAGCTCCAGAGCTAAAATACACGTACATAAAAACAACAGTGAAAACGTGGGGCAGGAAGGAGGGATCGCTGAGGGGATGCTGTATGAAACAAAAAAAGGTCTTTATGCGCTAGTGGAAGATGGCAAAAAAGGGGGGACAGATGAGTCTTCTTGGGGGGAGAGTTCCAGAATTTGGGGGCTGCAGCCGAGAAGGCCCTCTCCTGAATTGCCAGCTCTGGGTTGGGAAATACCTGGAGATTTTAAGAGTGGAGCCTGGGGAGGGCGGGGTTTGGGAAGGGACCTCAGAAGGCTACAATGCTATACAGTCCATGCTCCAAAACAACCATTTTCTTCACAGAAACTGATCTCTGATCAATTTAATATCCGGAGATCTCCAGGCCCCACCTGGAGATTGTAAGCAACCAAAAAAGAAGGGGAGCCAGTGTACAAGGATAGGAACAAAGCACAAAAACCACTGACTAGAGATAACCAAGATATGAATTGTGTAATAATAATTCAATAATGCAAAAATGTAATTATGTAACGATATTGGCCAAGCGTTGTGATATCAAAGTCCAATTGACATGCAATTCATCATGGAGTGGACATTTCAGAAGTTCCATAAGCCATAAAAAGCCATGACGCGTAGTCCGGGTACCCATAATCCTTCTTGACTGATTATACTGGCTTTGTATGTGCCTTCTACTGAGATTGGGTCCCCTTATAGCCTGTTGCTTTTGAGTAAGGACAACTCAAAACGCGGCAGCCAGCATCCGGACTATGCGTCAATGGCTTTTTATGACTTATGGAACTTCTGAAATGTCCACTCCATGCTGAATTGCACGTCAAGCTGGACTTTGATATTACAACGCTACTGGAGTGAGACACGGTAAAATACTTGGGACTTTATTTTTCTTTCCATTTATTCTTCTTTCTATATCTTGGTTACAACTTGGCCAATATTGTTATATAATTATATTTTTGCATTATTGAATTATTATTACACAATTCATATATTATCTCTAGTTTTTGTGCTTTGTTCCCACCTGGAGATTGGCAACCCTAGTTGTCATCCACCTACTCTTAGACAATGGGGCCTTGGAAGATGACTGCACTGGTCATGTAGGTTCGTTAGTCAAAGCTTGCCAATGGCTGGGGTTCAGGTTTCATCCTGACAGCATGCCTTTCCCTCTTCCTACCAGCCTGACGCATGGATATATGTCGGATATCAAGCGTATCTCGGCCACGTCCATCTTCTTTGAATCCATGCCCTACAAGCTCAATGTGAGTGAACAGAAATAGCATGTGTATCTTGTGTCTTGTACCCGTGTGCGTTCCTGTCTTTCCTTTTGTTTCTTGAGAGCCAAGGAAGTCTGAGCTGCCGGGACCCAAGTGCTGCTCAGGCCTGCTTCACATGTGTTGTCCCCCCCACACACCCTTTGTGTGTGTGTGTGTGTCTGTGTGTGTACTGTTTTGCTGTAGAGTTGGGAAGCCAGTATTTGATTTAATTAAATATGAGCCTTGTGACATCTTAAAAGACTTAGCACAATTTTTTTCCAGCATACACTTTTGTGAAATAGGATCCACTTCTTCAGATGTGGTCCACAAATGCTTATGCTCTGTTAGTTTCTAAAGTGCCACAAAGCTTCTGGTCTGTTTCTGCTGCAAGAGACTTATTTACTTACTTACTTGATTACATTTATATCCTGCCTTTCCTGCATGTGGACTCAGGGTGGGCTACAACTTAACCCAATTGGAAGCGTGATTTAATTCTCACTTGTGAAAGTGACGTTAGTTAAGTACGGGGGTTACGGGGGGTGGTGTCAGGATCTATACAATTTGCTGTTTGCTCCCAGTTCTCAGAAGCAAGCCAGGATAAGCACTAAGACTGATTGTTCATAGGTGGGCTGGGTTTGCTGCAAAGGCAAACGTTAACCTCATTCAGCAGAACCTCCACATTCAGAGGCAGTAAACCTTTGAATGCCAGTGCCAGGAGGCAACATCAGGGGAAAGTCTTGGCCTCTGTGCCCCATTATTGGCTTTCCAGAGGAACGGGCTGGTCACTGTATGAGATAGTACACTGGATTAGATGAACCACTGACCTGATCCAGCAGGCCTCTTCCAATGTTCTTACAACCACAATTCTACATACTGTGTCTATCCTCATGTGTTGGTATGCGTGAGTCTGTTTGCATTTGTGGGACAGGGATGATGCAGTGTCGCCGTACTTCCTATCCACTGACCTATTTCCCCCTTTCCCCACAGCCAGCAACAGGACTGATCAATTATGACCAACTAGAAATAACAGCCCGTCTGTTCCGCCCACGTCTTATTATTGCTGGCACCAGTGCCTACGCCCGCCTTATTGACTACTCCCGCATCAAGAAGGTACCCCTTGGGTGCAGTGGGAGGACAGGCAACAGTTAAGCTGAAGGAGCAGAAACGAGGGTCGGGCTCTGTTCTGTGGAAATTCAGGCTCAAGGACCAAAATGTCTGTGCGAATGAAAACTGGTGGCGCTCCTAGATGGGGCCTGTTTTCTTTTAACGAAGGGAGGATGTTTCTGGATATGTGGGTAACGTGGGCCTTCAGCTGCTCTGGCCTGCCCTTGGAATGAGAGTGTTGTTCCCCTCAGTCACCTGTGAGAGACTCGTGGCCATGAAAGCATGAACAAGGGACTAATCTCTCCTTCTCTGTCAGGTGTGTGAGGAGGTGAAGGCCTACATGCTAGCTGACATGGCCCACATCAGTGGCTTGGTGGCAGCCAAAGTCATCCCATCGCCCTTTGACTATGCTGACTTGGTGACCAGCACGACCCACAAGACGTTACGTGGGGCCAGGTGAGCGTGACCAAGAAAGCAGGGGACGTCTTTGCTTTGGACTTGGCCTGCCTGCATGCGTGGTGGTGGTGGCGGTGGTGGAAAGTGTGGTAAAGGCTCAGCTGACTTAAGGCAGGAGATGAACAGAGGCGATTGGTTCATGCCTGTTTGCTGATTTTACAGGCATGGGGAATGAGGGAGCATCCAGAAAATAGCTTATGTTGAATTTAGTTGAACATATGATGTGTGTGTTAAGTACCATCAAGTCCAATGCTCTTTCTAAACTGTGGAGTCTTCTGAGCAAAAATTCTACTTTGTGGGCTTCTGGCGTTAAAGTTGTGAGCGAGCCATTTGGCTGCTGCATAAATTAGTTTGCTCTGGAGCCATCCCTTCCTGAGCGAAGGCAAAAATGTGGTAACCATATGAAATAACGTTCTCCAAAATGAAGTGTCATTAATAGCCTTGCTCTCGAGTCTAGCAAAATGAGGGCTGTGGCTTCCTTGATTGAGTCCATCCACCTCATGTTGGGTCTTCCTCTTCTCCCGCTGCTTTCGACTTTTCTGAGCATTACTGTCTTTTCTAGGGAGTCTTGTTTTTTCTCATAATGTGGCCAAAGGACAACAGTCTCAATTTAGTCGTTTGAGCTTCTAGGGAGAGTTCAGATCTAGAAGGCACTTAACTTGTCTTTTTGGCAGTTCATGGTGTCCGTGAAACTCTCTTCCAACAGAACAGACTAGCAGACTCTTAATCCTTGCCATCTTTAAAACGGGTGGCTGGGTTGTCCCACCTAAGAATGCATACGTTTGCTTGAGACTAAGGCACACCAGCTGGTGTCCCATATGGCTTTTTCCAGAATACCATCTTCAGCCAAGCCTTGGCGCTTTTGTGTGGGATCCCCACACTGATGAGACCCCTACTCCCCATAATGATGGAATCTGGGCTGGAACAAAAACAAGGTGGAGCCAAGGTTTACATAGGGGACAGGGTGTTGCATAGGGTTGAATGGACATTGGAGGGGGGGGGAGGAAGGGGATTGGATTTATACCCTGCCCTTCACTCGAAGTCTCAGAGCATCTTACAATCTCCTCTCCATTCCCCTCCCCACAACAGACACCCTGTGAGTTGGGTGGGGCTGAGAGGGATCTGACACAAACTGCTCTTTTCCAAGGACAGCTGTGCCAGAACTATGACTTGCCCAAGGCCACATCAGCAGGTGCAAGTGGAGGAGTGGGGAATCAAACCCAGTTCTCTCAGATTAGAGTCCGCACACTTAACCACTACACCAAACTAATAACTCATGTTTTGTACAGCACTTGGATCGGGTCCTTTATAGTGAGTTATCATAGGTCCTGGTCTATTGGTGGTTGTATCCAGTGTTCCCTCTAAGCTGAGTTAGTGTGAGCTGGCTCACATTTTTTTAGCCTCCGGCTCACACATTTTTGTCTTAGCTCAGGAAGGATGGCTACAGAGCAAACTAATTTATGCAGCAGCCAAATCGCTTGCTCACAATTTTAATGCCAGTAGCTCACAAAGTAGAATTTCTGCTCACAAGACTCGACAGCTTAGAGGGAACATTGTATCCCAGCTGGAGGTTGGCGACCCCAGATAATATGGTAACGCAGTTCAGTATCGGAAGCCGCGAGGTGACCGCTGCAGGAAAGCACGTGCCAGGTCACCCACTTTCGACCAGGTGTCTTCTCTTGCCAACGGGTCTCAGAGCATCTTACAATCTCCTGTCCATTCCCCTCCACAAAACGGACACCCTGTGAAGTGCGTGGGGCAGAGTGAGCTCTTTCGAGGACTGCTCTTGAGAGAACAGCTCTTGAGAGAACGTGTGCCTGACCCAAGGTCACACCAGCAGCTGCATATGGAGGAGTGTGGAATCAAACCCGGTTCTCCCAGGTTAGAGTCCACGCTCTTAACCACTACACCAAACTGGCTCTCAGAGAGTTGACGGTTCCTCACTCAGTGTTCCGTAGCTGCTTAGGAGATGTGAAGGTCCTCTGTCTTGCCATCGGTTCTGCATGCTGAGCTTTCTCTGGTCTCCTGCAGAGCTGTGGGATGTGACCAACCCTGTTGGTAGGGCTCAGGTCCTCTGTCTTGCCATCGGCTCTGCATGCTGAGCTTTCTCTGGTCTCCTGCAGAGCTGTGGGATGTGACCAACCCTGTTGGTAGGGCTCAGGTGCAAGTTAGTTCGGCAGGAGTAAGTACCCCAAGCTGGAGAAAAATGTGACCTTGCAGAGGTGGCCATCTTTGGATCCCTGAGGCTGGGGGTGGGTGGGAGAGGACTGGAAAAGAGGGTGTGGTGATTGATCGTGAATGTTGACCCTCTCACCACCTCGTCACCTGCAGGTCTGGGTTGATCTTCTACCGCAAAGGTGTCCGTTCTGTGGACAAGAAGACGGGCAAGGAGATTCCTTACAATCTGGAGGAAAGGATCAACTTTGCTGTCTTCCCGTCACTGCAGGGTGGGCCTCACAACCATGCTATTGCTGCTGTGGCTGTGGCCCTGAAACAGGTAAGGAAGCGGTGTCTGTGTCTAGGGAGGCAATCAATATTTTTCCATGGGAAGGGTGTGTGAGGGAAAGGGCTTAGCTTTCGAATGCATGCCCGTCCAGAGCAGTTCCTCTCCACTGCCTTGCTGATCTGGAATGAGGGTTAGCTTAGACCTCATTGGCCCCCTTCCTTCAGTCTCCGAGCAGTCCCTGGGAGATCTCATTGGCCTCCTTCCCGCAAACTCCCAGCAGCCCCTACATCAGGAAGCAAGAACAGCCCGGTGATGGGCTGGTCAAGAGTCTGCCCAGGGCCATTGTCTTGCACCTCAACAGTGTGCTCTGCTTATCCCTTGAAACGCTGCCTGGTTTTCTGGACCCATTCTGTATTGCCTACAGTTCTTGACCTCTGTTTGGCCTTCCCTGGTCCTTATCCTGCAAAGGCTGCCAGATCATATTTACTTGCAGTGTGGTGGCAACAAAAGGCCCACGTAGAGTTGGGGCACCCAGATTAGTTGACCCATCAAAATATTGCCAGTATTATAAACTTTGTTATTTATTGTCCAGTCCCATGAAATCAAGAAGCCCGCATGGTGCAGTGGCCTGAGTGCTAGTCTGGAGACCCAGGTTCGAATCCCTGTCATGCCATGGAGGCTCAGTTGGTGACCTTGGGCCAATTGCTCTCTCTGAGCCTCGCTTGTAAAATGGAGGAGGGAAGAACAGTGTTGTAAGCGGCTTTGGGTCCCCACTGGGGAGAAAAGCAGGGTATAAATAAATAAGAATGTACATGTGTCAATGGCAGTCTACTTTTTCATTGTGTCACGGGTTCCTGTGGCAGCAGAAAGAGAGGGCTGCTTGCTTCCCAATCCTATAGGAGTCAAGATTCATGCTGGTTGCCCTCTTGATTAATCACATGGCCTAACTTAACTTCAGGTTTCTCTGAGGGTGGAATGGAACATAGAAGCAGTCAGGAAGAACACGCAGGAGCAGGTGGCACAGCAGCATAGGTCAGGGAGTCAGGGCAGCTATAGAACCTGTTACATTTTACCCCAGGAGGAGCAGACTTCATCTGTTCAAACACACTGGCTTTGAGGGCTTTCTGGGAGGGATTGGAATGTCCCTGTAGGAGAGTCCTCATCGGAAGACACCGAGTCCAATTCGCCACTGGATTTGCTGTCATCTTCTTCCTTCTCGACCTCGGCTGTCTCTCCCAGCTGCAATCTCAGGAACTCACATGCTTTGGGGACAGAGTCAATCTTTTCTTTTTTATCGTGTATTTTGAAAATGATGCCTTCTGGAATTAACCATCTGTAGGCAATGCTGTTTGTTTGTAGAAGAAGGATTAGATCTTTATATTTCTTTCTCTTTTGCCTTATTTCAAATGGAATGTCTTTTAGAATCCTGTTGATGTTGTCCCTGATTTTCAAGGGTGTTCCTGTAGTTGCTTTCAGGATAGAATCCCTCACATGCCTCTTTGAGAATCTGACCACTATTTCCCCAGGCAGATTCTTCTTCTTGATGTACACGGAATAGGACCTATAGACCACATCCATTTCCTTTGCAAGATATTCCGCTTTCAAATCTGTAACTGGGGCTAATGCTTCACTCAAGAGTTGCTTTAGATTCTCGCCTTTTAATTCTGGGACCCCTTGAAACCTGAGGACCAAATTTGCTTTCTCCATTTGCAGCTGTTCGAACACACTGGCTTTGTGGGCCTTCTGGGAGGGATTGGAATGTCCCTCTAGGGAGGCTGTTTTTGTAACCATCTTACAATTCTGAGAAACAAATGCTTCAAAAATGTATTTATTTATTTTATTCACTTGATTTATTCCCCACTTTCCTCTCCAGTAAGGACTCCAAGTGGCACACAAGATTCTCCCCTTCTCCATTTTATTTTCTCCTCACGTACAAAGCTGTGTGGTAGGATAGGCTGCGAGAGATTATGACTGGCACAAAGTCATGAGATCGTAAGAGAAGCCATGTTGGATCAGGCCAAGGGCCCATCCAATCCAACACTCTGTGTCACACAGCAGCCAAAATGCAGGTGCCATCAGGCGGTCCACCAGTGGGGCCAGAACTCCAGAAGCCCTCCCACTGTTGCCCCCCCGTGCACCAAGAATACAGAGCATTACTGCCTCAGATATAGTGTTCCCTCTATACCTTGTGGCTAATAGCCACTAATGGACCTCTGCTTCCCTGGCAGAGTAAGTATTCGAACCTGGGTCTCCCAGTTCCTCATGCAGCACTCTAACCATGACACCATGCTGGTTTGATCATTGTTTGACTGTTCAGTTGGCCAGTTTTTCTTTCAGAATGACCAACTTTTAGAGCCACTGTGGGGCAAGAATTTGGGCAGGAATGGAGTGAGCTGGGTGATAGCCATGCCTCTCTGTGGTATGATCGGCTATAGTAACTTCTGTTGCTTTTTTGGTTTTCTGGCCCAACTGACCTCTTCTCTTCTGTGGCAGGCCAGCTCCCCCATGTTCCGGGAGTATTGCCAGCAGGTCCTGAAGAATGCTAAAGCCATGGCGGAGGCTCTGCTGCAGCGGGGATACACCCTGGTCTCAGGTATAGTGAGGGCTATGTCTTGCCTCTGAGCTGGAATGTACCATTTGGAGAGTCACACGATGTAGCTTTGGCTGGGGCGTACCACATCACCTGCTGCCTGAAATGTACAGCCCAGCCAAAGCTGCACCACGTGATTCCTCAGACTGTGCTTTTGAGTACTCTGTTTTAGCCTTAGGGAACATGTGAAGCTTCTTCCTCCTGAACCAAGCCATTGGTTTAGAACTGGGGCTCCAAGCCTTGTCGAGCCTGTGGGCATTTCTGGGATTTTGAGAACATTGAGTGGGTGCCACCATAAAATGGCTGCCACGATGGGCATGGCCATCCACAGAATGGCTGCCAGGGGAACTGGGGCCAAAAATATTGCAAAAAAAGAGAAAGGAATTGTCTAAGGCAAAAGATGAATAGAGGCGCTTTGCCAGTGCCTGCCTCTGCATAGCAACCTTGGACTTCCTTGGTGGTCTCTCATCCAAGTACTAACCAGGGCTGACCCTGCTTAGTTTCCAAGATCTAACAAAATCAGGGTAGCCTGGGTCAGTAATTAATCATTGTTAGGAGGAGTGTTCAGGCTGCAGTCAATAAAGCTTCTGTTTCTCTCTCCTTGGCTTAGGGGGCACAGATAACCACTTGGTGCTTGTGGACCTGCGGCCAAAAGGCATCGATGGGGCCCGGGCTGATCTATCTATCTATCATCTATCATCTATTCCTTCGGCTTCTATCCCGCTCTCACTCCCTAGGGGCTCTGAGCTGCTTACAATTCCGATTTTAACCAATCTAATCTAGGGCCACATATGTAGGGAAGGTGAGAAGCCTGCCAGGCACCCTTATCCTGTTGTAGCAGATCTTTTTTGCAAGGGGACAGTCCATCCATAGAATGGCTGCCAGGGGAACTGGGACCAAAAATATTGCAAAAAAAGAGAAAGGAATTGTCTAAGGCAAAAGATGAATAGAGGCACTTTGCCAGTGCCTGCCTCTGCATAGCAACCTTGGTCTTCCTTGGTGGTCTCCAAGTACTAACCAGGGCTGACCCTGCTTAGTTTCCAAGATCTAACAAAATCAGGCTAGCCTGGCTCAGTAATTAATCATTGTTAGAAGGAGTGTTCAGGCACGCTCCTTTAGGATATCAAGAAGGTGACCATGAGTAGGGAAGGCTGCAGTCAATAAAGCTTCTGTTTCTCTCTCCTTGGCTTAGGGGGCACAGATAACCACTTGGTGCTTGTGGACCTGCGGCCAAAAGGCATCGATGGGGCCCGGGCTGAGCGGGTGCTAGAACTGGTGTCCATAACGGCAAACAAGAACACCTGTCCTGGAGACAAGAGTGCGTTAACACCTGGAGGTTTGCGGCTTGGTAAGATCTAGGAAGTTGAAGAACGAAACACACCATTGAGGTGGGCTGGACAGGTGTTTACCAGGGCCGTGTGTCACCTACACTGCAGTAAGCCATTTGCACCAAGGAAATCCAGAATTTGCTTCCAAATGCCTGGATTTTTAGAGGCCTGTTTTTGCCCAAGGTTGCTGGGGAAAGAAAAGAGGGGAAAGGTATGGAGATTGGGAGGCAGGTGCACAGTCTATGGTCTGCAAAATCTGCCTGTCTAGTCTGTATTTATTTTGTCTTTCCTTCCTCTTGCTTGAGTGCCTTATGTTTGTGACTCTCAGGAACCCCTATGCGATGCCCCTGTTAAGCAACCACTTACCCCCCCCCCACTCTCCAGAAACTGTTCTCAAAGATAATGAACCGAAAATTACATTGTGTGTAGCCAGGGGTCATTTCGTAAAAAAAGAGGTGCAGGAGCTCATTAGCATAACTCATTAGCATAACTTATTTGCATATGCCACAACCCCTGACATCACCGGAAGTGTGTCAGAAGGCAACACCCACCGTTCAGGCTCCACTGGACTGTTTTGGATTGCTAGCTGTTGGGGCGGGGGGAACGTGCAGATCTGTCCTCGCAGAGGAGGGAGAGCTTGTACCTGAATAAAACTTAGTCTTAAAGGTGCCACTGGACTGTTTTGGACTGGGGGCCCGGGAGGAGCTCTGCAACTTACCTGGCTGCTTCTTGCTCTGACTGAGGGCTGCTGGGAGCAGGGGGTGGGGCTTGTTGCATGTGCCTGCCCCCTGGGCTCTTTACTGCCGGTGCTCCGCTCCTGTGTGCTCCTGCAGGAAATGACCCCTGGGTGTAGCTAAATACGTATCAGTCCTTTCTGCTGCTCTATGTCTATGACTCTATGAGCTTCTTGGGTTGAAAGGAAAGGAGCCTGCCCTTCCTTCAAGGAACTCAGAGAGGTGAACATGGTTGTGCCTTCCTATTTTACCTTCACAAACACCCCTTGCTGTTGGCTAGGCTGAGAGAGAGGCACCTGGCCCAAGGTTACACAGCAGGCTTCATGGCAGGCTTGGGTCTTGAGCTTGGGTCTCCTTCACTCTATGGGTGGCTCCCAATGTATGCACTGAATCTGGTATTGGGAGTGCAATTCAGTGTCTTGAAAAATCTCCATTTCCCTCTTTTAAAAGCGACATTTCTGGTCCTTAAATCTGTTTGAAGAAGCTTGACCATATCTCGGAAGCCCAGCGTGGAGCTCGGGGCACCTCGTGTGGATCTGTGCTTTTTACCGTAACTAGCTGAAGCAGAATAAATTAAGCAGAGGAAACCAAGAGATACAAATCGGCTTAGCGATTGGTATCGGCTGCAGGTTTCAGCTTTGGAGTTACTTTGTTTCTGGGGCTGGGGGAAAACCATTGTGGCAAATGGGGAATGCGCAGGTGGCCAGAGCCACCATTTCTCTCTGAGGTCACGAGGGCCAGAAGCTGAGAAGTATCGCGATAACAACCTGTGTGCTTGCGCAGACGTCCCTGTGTATGTAAAACATGCAGGCCACCCACTGGTTGTGTATGCACCTTGATTCTCCTACTGCTTTCTAGAAAAGAGGAAAGCCAGTTTGGGGTAGTGCTTAAGATGGTCGCACTAGTACCTGGGAGTCCCAGACTCAAACCCCCACTCGTGGCAAGGAAGCTCAGTGGCTAACTTTGAGCCAGTCACACACTCTCAGCCTGAGCTACCTCACAGAGTACATAAGAACATAACATAAAAACATAAGAGAAGCTAATGTTGGATCAGGCCAAGGGCCCATCCAGTCCAACACTCTGTCACGCAGTGGCCAAAAATATACCAGGTGCCATCAGGAGGTCCAGCAGTGGGGCCAGGACACTAGAAGCCCCCCCCTCACTGTTGTCCCACCCCCCAGCACCAAGAATACAGAGCATCACCTGTCCCAGCCTGTGAATTCCTATCTATACCTTGTGGCTAATAGCCACTGATGGACCTCTGCTTGTTGTTGTGAAAATGGAGGGGAGGAGAATGATTTAAGCAGGTTTGCATCCCCACTGGGGAGAAAAGTGGAGCACAAATGAACAAAATAAATATGTAGAAGAACCTTAAATAGGTATTATGCTGGTTTCCCCCTGTTCACGGCATCTTCTGCCTTCACTGAGTTCCCCTGACAGCTTTTATCTTGGTGGGCTACTCCCTGTTTTTTTTTTGAAAGGCTGAATGCAGAAAGAAAGAGAGAGGGGTCAGTGTGTGTGTGTGGGGGGGTGTACCATGTCTCTTGTGCCCTGGTTCATGATGTTGACGGCGCATGAGAGTTGAGCCAGGAAGGGCCAGGCGAACTCGTGTCTCTTTCTTCCTGCTCCCACTCCCTTGCCGGTGACTTACCTTGGCAGAACCAAACATCCTAAACAGACAAGGTGAATGCTTCTTTATCCAACACACAAATCGGGATTCTGAGCTGGGAAGACCATTATTTTGGCAAGGATGGTCTGTTCTTGACGATCCCTGTTTGGGCAGCCGTTCAGTAGGATCCGGCTAGAGGAAGGAGAGTGGAGGGTCGTAGTGTTTTCAGGGCTGCTCATTCACCTGAAGGGTCTTTTAAAAAAGCAACAGCAGCACCTTTAACCCAGTTCTCTTCCATTCCCCCACAGGGGCGCCTGCGCTTACCTCCCGGCGTTTCCAGGAAGCTGATTTCCAGAAAGTGGTGGAATTCATAGATGAAGGGATCCAAATCGGCCTGGATGTCAAAAAGAAAACCTGTAAGTCCCTGGTGTTTTTAGGGCAGTGTGGAAAGTTTAAAATGTTGTCACTTTTCCCCCATGTGCGTCTGTGTGCCACCCTGAATTTACCCCTCTCTCCTCCTTCTTTTTGTCCCCCTTTCCAGCCAAGCTCCAAGATTTCAAATCTTTCTTGCTAACTGACCCAGAGACAAAGAGGAGCCTGGCTGACCTCCGGCAGCGCGTCGAGACCTTTGCCCGTGCCTTCCCCATGCCTGGCTTCGAGGAACGTTGAAAAGGATGCCCAGCCAGAGACTAGCGATCATGCCCTCATAGCAGGGCACACAAGAGGCCAAATGCCAGGAGTCCCTGTTTCCCTTGCCTCTCTGACGTAGCCAGCCAGCAGGGGCCCTTCTTCCGGGAGAATGTCTCCCCTAGGCCACCGTCTCCCTCTCCCCTGCGCTCATTTTATAGTGACTGCAACAACTGACCTCCTTTTGTTTACAGCAGGACTAGTCTCTGACTTGCAATATATTTGTAATGATCTGTGCCATCTGTTAGGCAAGGTGGACTATGAGAATTAAAACAGCTCCCACAGTTGCCTCGAAACTGTGACTGAATCAAGGCTGAGAATTTTTGCGAGACTCTCACCTGGGAAACCTGCATGCCAGTGAGTGTACTCGTATCCTTGCCTGCATGCGTAAATATGCAGATACCTGTATGTGCATCACCAGGGATCCACAGGTATTTCCTTAGGGCTGCAACCGCCATATATGAGTTTTCATCTAAAGACCATACATTTGTACAGATATTTTGGTTAGAGGCTCAAAATGCTTTAAAAACTTTGTTCCCATTAATGGTCATAGGACTTGGGAGGTCTTTCGTTCTTTCTTTTGCGTGTGAGGACAACATGATTTACCCGCCTCTAAAATTCCACAGGAATAATCTCAAGAATGGGCCAAAAAGATACAGACAGTGCAAGTCCTGGCTCAACCTGGTTCTTTCGCAAGCTTCCCGGGGTTTACGGATTGTAGTTTGGCTAGGCCAATTGCAAGGTTCCTCTCCCAGGGTCCAGATTGTGCCAAAAGCCAACTTACTGTGATATTCATTAAAAAAAAAATCTTGCAAAAAGTGATCCGGTAGACAGGACCTTCTGTTTAAATAGGAGTACCTCTTTCTCTCTGGGTGAATGCAAGTGATCATATACCAGAAAGTAACTTACTGCAGTGATCGTGTGATCACTTGGTAAGCTGATCATCTCTATTATTGTCTTGCCGGGTAGTAAGAATTGTTTTGCCACCACTGCCAGTCTGGGTTCCCAGGATCAGTGTGAAAAGATTTCACTTGCTATCTAACAGACACTTGGTGCAACTGGACTGCTAAGCGGCTGTGCCCTGATCCGGATAGCCCAGGCTAGCCTGATCTCATTCGATCTCAGAAGCTAAGCAGGGCTGGCCCTGTCCGGTACTTGGATGGGAGACCACCAAGGAGTACCGGGGTCGTGACCCAGAGGCGGGCGGGGGGAAACCACCTCTGAACATCTCTCACCTTGAAAATCCCATGGGGTCGCCCCAGGTCACCTGTGCCTGGATGGCAAAAGAAAAGAAGTGGCTATAAGTCAAATGTTCGTTGCGTGGAACTTCCTCTCTTTAGAGGAAGAACTTCGTCCGAGGGAGCTCTCACAAGAAGGAGGACGGGAAAGATATCTTCACAATGCAGGGCTGCGCACAGTCATCACCGCTGCAAAATTTAGCCAGTGTTGCAGTTTGTATACATTATGCAGATTGCATGCATTTGCCTTAGCATTTTGAATAATTCTGTCATTTTTATTTTGCATGACTCTTGATGGGTTTGCAGAGGGATAAAGCGGTCAGGGCGTTGAAGCTCTGCCTACAGCCAGTGGGAATCCGTATTCAGCTGCCCTCTGGGCTCTTGAGATTTCAGAAGGTGCGGCTCACATATTTTCAATCTGACCTATGCATCCATAAGGGCTTTTGTTTAAAATGGACACCAAGGGATGAATCCAGCAGAACAGTTCATGGGAGGAGCTGGAGGAGCAGACGGTTCCCTTCTTTCCTCAAACAGCCTGCTGTTTAGTCTGAAAATCCTTCCAGAGCACATACAGAGCGCTGAACTGGGGGGAGGGGGGCTCTAAGGTTGCCAGGTCCCTCTGGCCACTGCGGGGGGGGGGGTAGGGTTGGGGGGGTGGGAAACGCCTGACGTTTTGGGGGTGGGGGCGG